CCCCAAAACCCCAAAACCCCAAAACCCCAAAACCCCATAAATGTTAAAGGCTGCTGAAATTTAGTGGGTCATTTTATCAAATCATAAATTTTTTTAATTATTCTTGCAACCTTGTATTAATAATTCTGATTAGCTTGTTGTAAATCTCTGGCCCAAGAGACATGATGCAGGAACCCACAATTCCAAAGGCCACAGCCACTATTTCGATCGTGGTGGGTATTTGGCCTAATAGAAGAGCAGCTAGCAGGATGAAGATGATCACTTGGGAGTTGATCAAGGAGTAACCAACTCCTACATTACCAAGTGATACTGAGATACTCAAACAAGCTCCTCCAAAATTCACTATGATTCCAGCTAAGACCATCTGCAAGAAGTCTAGCCAGATGAACTCATATTTATAATTATCTACCAAGTATCCTAGCAAGGTTCCAATGATAACTATTCCTCCTTGGCAGAGGTGGGCAGCCTGACTCAGCTCATTGGGATTAACTCTGAATTTCATACATAAAAGTCTGATGATGAGTCCATCCAGAGCAAAGAAGAAGGGGCATATCATTGATAGGATCAAAGCGATTGCTACTCCATTTGGGTTATAGTCTGCTTGAGTGATTGCTTCTGCAGATGGAGCTCTCAAGAATCCAATCATAGTAATGCAAAAGATCATAAAGACCATTCCAATGAGTTGGGATATCTTGAGTGTTTCCCCAAACTTTATATAAAACATTATGGAGATGATGAAAGGAGTCGTCCCATAAATAGCTGTGATGACCCCTTGGTTCATACCTCCTTCTAGAGCAAGTTTGAAGGAGACTATAACAATCAATCCAGACCCTATAGATATCAACGCCATTGCTATAACTCCAGCAAGTATCCAGTATTCAAATTTTCCTCTATGCTTAATAGAAACTTGGGGATTCTGGTTTCTAAACACTGATTTTTCCCAGTCGAAAAATGCTTGGTTCTTCCTTCTTTTGTCGACAAACTGGTATGAATAATAAATAACTGCTCCAATACCTATCCCTAGGCCAGTGTTAGACCTAGCTAAGTATCCCAGTCTGGTAAGGCTCCCAAGTGTCAAGTTATGAAGTGCAAAAAAGAGTCCAGTCAAAAGAGCAAAGATTATACTCTTTGTCTGGTCAAAAGTATGGGGACTGACTATAAACATTATTCTTAGTCTTACTCTCTGTTTGTTTTGGAAGTAATTCTTGGTGCAAGTCTCCCTCTGTCTGGCTGACAAGTCTCTTATAATCTGCACTTGTATTTTCCATATATTATGAAACTATTCCAATCAGAATTTTTATATCGGGGTTTTGGGGTTTTGGGGTTTTGGGGTTTTGGGGTTTTGGGGA